CACACACACACTCACACACACTCACACACACACACACACTTAAAATAGATCCAGGACTGCTTGTTTCGGATTCTAGAGTCTAGGACAGAGAGAATACTCACTCACACACACTGTCTCTCTCACACACACACACACACACACACTCATTAACGTGAGGGTCACTCACTAACGATCATTAACCCTCATCCACACCCTAAACGATCCGCAGCGCTGTGTGTGACACAGGACACACCTTTTCCCCTTCACACACACAGTTTTCCTCCAAACGTCTGTTTCCTGTGCCTTACTAGAAACCGCGGCTGCTGGAGCGTCGCGTGGAAAGCGGCTCTATATTTACCCCGACCCTCTGCGGGAGGAAGTGTACTCGTGTGAGCGGAGCAAGAAAACACCCAACAGAGGAACGCAGAGTGACCCGCTCACAGACAGCAGGACATCACTCGTCACACCAACACACAACACACAGCAGAATTACAGACAGTCTAGCGACGATGTATCGTCACAGAGATTTGTATCGTATCGATTTGTATCGTGTCTCTGTATCGATATTGTGGCACGTGTGCAGCAGTGGACTGCGCTTAATTTGAACACAAGAACACTGTTTAAAATGGAGTAGAAAAGTGCGAGGTTTCTAAAAAATAATGAATAGAGCATAATATACAGGGCTACAACAAGGTTTAATCTGGCCGCAGCGGAACACAACCAGGGTTGCCTGATATAAAGAGACGTAATCCCCGAAACAGAGCTTCACACTTGTGCAATATCGAAATATCTGCTAAGTGTGTTACTTATCTTTGTCAACCTGGCAACCATGTGCACGTGCTCTCTCTCCGCTGAGGATAAACGCGCTTGCTTTCTGAAAACACTGGTTAGCTTGCAGTTGAGCGATCTCCACTTCAATATTCTATTCTCAGAAAAGTGTAATTCATCAAGTGTTCATTTATGAGAGAGAGAGAGAGAGAGAGAGAGCGAGCGCAAGTATATTAGAACACGATTAGAACGAGTATATTATTATTTATGGGCTTAAAAACAAGATGCAAACAATCAGAATATTGCACCTGGTGGGGAGTGCTCAATGTAAACATGAAACATATGCCATTAGCTATATTATTGTACTGTGGTACAGTTCTGGAGGCTCTTCATAATGCAGAGGTAAACCACACTCACACTCACACACACACACACTCACACACACAGGAAGGACACTGCACAGATGACAGCTGAACTTGTTCTAGAACAGCGCTTGTTTTTCTCTCTTATCAGCTGTAGTTGTGTTATCGACACTAAAACAAAGCAGGTCACCGCACTGTGATCTGTGACGTAAAGCAGCCGAGTGTTTACAGACGCTGTGGAACGAGCAGAAAGCAGACGGGATCTTCACGGCTCTGTTGTTGAGACTGGAGGTTGTGAAACACATCAGTAATGCGCATTAGCGCTGGCTGGTAAACAGCCTGTACGGCCCAGAAACTACTGCCTGCACAAAATCCAGCAGAACAACACACAAAACCAGACCGAACCAGACCAGTGCGCTTGTTTGGGTCAAACTGAGTCTGGTTTCAGACTCCATCGCTGTCCACAATCACATTCAAAACCACCAGGACTACTCCAGCTGTTGGTGATTTACTGCATCAGGATTACGGATTAGGACTTCTAAAATTATTTTCACTCACGATTTCTGCCTGACAAAATATTTTAGAACCTGACATAACTAGTAAAATGTTCATTCATTATGAAAATACTCAAGTTCCTTTAAGATTGTGTTCTTTTAATTACTTTTCCTGCTTAAACAGCTGTTGTAGAAGTGAAATAAAATTAGAATTATGTTGATTTTTTTCTTATTTGTTAAGATTAGTTAATGCATTAGTTAACATAAACTAACTATGAGCAATATATTTTTTACAGCACTTATTAACCTTTGTTAATGTTAGTTAATAAAAATACAATTGTTCATGTTAGCTCACACTGTATTAACTATTAATATCAGATCAGGGTTATTACAGTAAACTAAAACCATTAAAAAAATCCTGTTACTTAAAGTAAAATAAACCTTAACTGAAATTTAAAAAAAGCTTTTATTTCAGTTAGGCTGAAATAATATTTCCAAGGCTACACTTCTCATTTTAATTGAGTTTAATCTGATGTACTAAAATAACTAAAGCTGAAATAAAATAAGAAATATATGTATATATATATAAATATACATATACATATATATATATATATATGTATGTAAACATATAAAAAATACTAAAAATGACAAAAACACAACAAAATTACTAAAACTTTAGCTAAAATTTAAATGAAAACATTATAAAAACTCATTCAAGATATTATTTACAATAGCCTCTCAATTATAGTACAAATACCACTGTAAAAGATACAACTTTTGACTTAAAATGTATTATTAAATGTATAAATTAACATTAAAATTAATAAATGCTGTATTGTTCAAGTATCGTGCATTGTTTTTGAAAGAAGTCTCTTCTGCTCACCAAGGCTGCGTTAATTTGATCAAAAATACAGTAAAAATTGTGAAATATTATTATAGTTTAAACCAGCTGTTTTCTCTGTGAATCTCTGTTAAACTGTAATGTATTTCTGTGATCAAAGCTGTATTTTCAGCATCATTACTCCAGTCTTCAGAGTCACATGATCTTCAGAAATCACTGTTCACTCACCAGCGTACATGTGGAAGGTCAGCCGCTCGATGAGCTTCAGCACCGTTCCGGCTTTGATGATGGGAATGCCGGATTTGGACTGGACGTTCTCCTCGAACACGACGTTCTCCTCGGAGTCGGGCTGGGCGAAGCGGTACACCTCGGCCCCGGGGAGCCTCATCTGCTCCTCCTTCTCCTCCTGCAGCATGGCCGTGTCCAGCATGCGCTCCAGCGTGGAGCGGTACTGCAGCGAGATCAGCGCCGCCATCCAGCCGTTCTTCTCCTCCGCAGATTTAGCGGCGAACACCACGCTGTTCCCGTCCTTCAGGATGATCTCGAAGGCGTGCCGGTACTCGCCCTCCTTATCGTCCTTGTCGTTGATCTGGACCTGTTCAAGAACACACAAACATCACCAACAGTTGGTATTTTGCCACATTTTTATTTTAAATCGAGGAATCGCAGTTTTGAATAAAAATATCAGCAAATGTTACAACTACACTGTAAAAAATGACCGTGAATTTAACGGTAAAAGACTGTAATAACGCTACAGTCGAAACCTGTTAGAATGGTTAACGGTAAGTTCCCCTAGGGCTGCTCGCTCGATTATGACAAAAATCATAATTATTATTATTTCGGTCAATATTGTAATCACAATTATTTAACACGATTATAAGTGGGCCATATGACCAAATCTTTAAATGAATGATTTATTTAAAGATAGCCATATATATGAATAATCTAAAACAGCATAATCACACTGTAAGAATTAAACTTCATTTGTTACTTATTAAAGCTACAAAAGTCGTTCAGTGAAGAGCAGTGAGTGATTTTGTCTTTGTCTTTGTCGTTTGATTAATATTAAGCACACAGTCGCAGCAGAATATTAGGCTGCTGTCACTTTAAGAGCTGCACGTATTCAATTTACTGTTATGCACGTATTTTCATTCTCAACTGTTTACGTTCATTTATTACATAACCGACAAGGGATTACGTGAATAATCACTAAGTGCTGCATTTTGACAAATTTCTGTGTGTATTTGACAGTTTAGGCGCATACGTTCAGCCAAAAGATGACTTTATATATCCGTGTTCTGCTCCGTCTCTGAGCGCATTTACAGTAATCCTCTCGAGGAACAGCTCAAGTTCTTTTTCGCGCTTTTAAAAACATGAATACATTTTATAAACTTTAATAAATCAAGCACGTCCCATTTTTCAAGTCACGTTACATGATTTGCACGTGAAATTGGGCTTTTATTGAGGAGCGAAAGCACACTGATAGAAAGGGGGCGGAATAATCGTTTTATCTCGATTATTGTATTTTCATAATCGTTGGGAGGTCGAAATCGAAACCATATTTCGATTAATATCACAGCCCTAAGTTCCCCTTCTATATACGGTGAAAAACTGTATTGGACATTACATGTAATTTTACAGTAGTATACCGTTTCTGGAAGTGAAAAAGAATGTATCATTTACAGTGAATAACCGTAAATTGACATTCCCAGAATGTTACATTTCAAATTTGATGATTTTTTGTTGAAATAAATAATTCTGGCAACCACAGCTGCCGGTTTTTTACTGTACATTTTACATAAAATTTTTTTTTTTCAGTGTAGGGCTGTCGAGTGTGATTAATTATGAAAAAAATAAAATCTTACACATCTTACACTGAGATTAACATGATGCAGGATGACTGACTGAATGAACGAATCCACAGTTTTGAATGAATCAAGTGAGCGAATGATTCAATGACTCATTCATAAAAAGAGCCACTTGCTTCCTTTCTGAATGAATCAGCTGTTTGAACGGATTGGTTGAATGAATTATTCAATGACTCACTCATTAAGGAATCTGGCGCTTTTAGTTTCATATTTACGGTTTCATTTAATTTTTGTATTATTTCAATATTCAATTAAAAAAAAACATCATATCAATGTTGAATCATATTATTTCTTTCTGAAGCTACTTTTTGTAATGTCTATTCAATGCTTTTCTCATTTAACACAATAATGGCTTTATATTTTCGGGGAGTATTTTCTCAGCAAAAATTGATGTGTGACTAATTTGCAATTAATTAGATTAATTAATCAGCATATTATGTAATTAATTAGATTACAAATTTTAATTGCTTGACAGCCCTAGTTACAATTATACATACTAGCAATACACCAATGCTAATAATAAGATAATCTATAAAGACATAAAAACAAGACCTACTAAAAATGATTAATTACTCAAATAAAAATAATTAAAAACTACACAGACATAAAAAACACAAGACCTACTAAAAATGATTAATTACTAAAATTGATAAAACTTTAACTAAAATTTTAATGAAAACAGAAAATATAATAATATGTAAACAAATGTTTTACATAGCAATCCAATGGAAAAGCAGACAGCTGTGCAGAAATACTACTGTATGTCTGATATTTGATGCTTGCACAATGACGACAGACTGAAAGCTGCTGATATTTTCATATACTGTTAATAATTATCTTTACTTTTTGAGTTGACCTCTAAAATGAAATTCCACATTTCGGCTAAAAAATATTGAGCATTTTTCTGATTTTATATCATTTCTGAACATACAGGATATGTTTAAGACAATATTTTCCTTCATATTTCATGCATTTTTTTTCTTTTGCAAAGATATTTAACAAGTGAATTTGTTTTACGTTTACATCATGTTGAACTTCATGTGTCCATAAATGCAGTTATGACCTAAAATTCAAGATATTAGGGCAAAAAATGCCCCTGTATGAGTTTTTGTCTCATATTTATATCACATGAGCAGCGAGAGCAGTATCACACGAGTGCTGCTTATGTCCCGAACATCACGAGTGCAAATGTGATTTTATACAACAGTTCAGTAAATAAGACGTTAATGTTGTGTAATATTTTAAACACATTATTGTCTGCTTTGCTCAATTTTGCAGAGAACATATTACTTTTAAAGCCACAGCAGAACTGTTGTGCGTCTCTGAGCAACACAGCTGTGTTTAGTTACTGAATGAATCTGCGTTTTGAACGAATCGTGTGAATCAATGATTCAAAGCCCCATTCATAAAGAGAGCCGTTTACTTCATTCCTGAATGAATCAGCCGTTTGAACGAATCAAATGAATGAATGACTCATAAAGACATTTACCGCCATCTGCTGGCAGTGTTAAGTTTCTTATTTAGAGTATAATTTAATTAAAAATAAAATAAAATAAAAACATTAAAGGGATAGTTCACCCAAAAAAATTAATTCTGTCATCAATCATGTTGTTTCAAACCTGTATGACTTTCTTTTGCGCAACATAAAAGAAGGTGAAGACTGTTGGTAACTAAGCTGTTTGGTTACCAATGACTTTATTTGTATGAGCCAAAACATACGGAGATGTTTCTCAAAGTATCTTCTTTTTCTGTTTCATAGTTTATGTTAGGCCGGCTGTAGCCTAAATGTTATAAATAAATTTTTATGTTGAATCAAATAAAATATTTATTTCTAAAGCAACTATTTGTAATGTTTATACTTTCTCATTTAACACAATAATGGCTTTAAAGGCACAATATGTAATTTTCGCCGCTAGAAGTCGCGTATTCAAAATAAACAGAGACAAAGGCGTAGTTTGATGACGCTGTGACTGAGTGTGGAATCATGGGA